AGGACCGCACTTGCTTCCCACCATAGAAACTTCATAATTGCTCTGTCCGCCGCGTTTGACACGTTTAACTATAAGATGGAATAGGCCAGCGCTGGCATCACAACTCTGCACAGTGTCACCAGGTGTACCGGGAACCTAACGAGCAGGTTGGAAGCGGGGGAATCTCTCATATTGGATCTTTGATGATGAGGGAGAAAGCCTCACCATGCGGCTCCACTTCTTGCTCACACTCGTCCTGGACGAGCTCGATGATGAACTTGAACTGGCGACTCCGGCTTCGGGGCCCGCATTTGATTCTTCACTTTGTACTTCCTTTTTCGACCCACAACCTTCAAAGCTGAGACAAACGAATGTGACCCAAGCACTGTTAGTATTGACTCACATTAAGAGACTGAGCGAAGCGATGCAAAGGAGCAATAGCAGAGATAGACTCGGTAGCCGAAACATGACAGGAAAATTCCCTATTGTCAACAGGGTTGAGCCAGGCTTGGACAAATGCAGAACGAAACAACTTGTTGTAATTCACAACATTCACACAGTAGACACAACAATGTTCGAGGACGCAACTTGTGTCCTGTGGATAAACTTGGTGTCTTTTTATCTACTCCTCAGCGGCAGGTGATGCTTCACCAAGCCAGGCAGGGTCCGTGCACAAGGTTTTCAGACGACTGGGATTTTCTGCTGTTACCCCGAACTTCTCCCATACCGCCTTGCAGTCAACATCTTCACCTTGTAAATCCTTAGCCAAATCGTCAACAATCTCCTTCTTCGCGCCGCTGAGCAGTGTCAAGTAGAGCATGGGAATGAACCGTTCGGAACAAACTGACTTACGTCTTGTCGCCGCACTTATCGCCCACCAGCTTCACCTTCCATTGGGTCTCACCAGACTTTAGAGTGCGTTGAACAGAAAGTTTATACGTATGATCGGTTGAGGAGGCGCGACAGATCTTGAACTTGCCACCGTCTTTCACTTCCTCTGGGGCCTGAGTCCAACGCTTCGTGGTGAAACCATGAAGACCGCTGACGAGTTCA